ATAACCCTTTTCAAATATTATTTCTCATAGGATGTCACATGATGTCTTTTCTCCTCTTCATCCTTTCTGTTAGTAATCCAGTTCTGTGTCTGTGAAGAGACACAGGACTTCTATAGAGTATCTGTCAGGTTTCCTGTAGGAATAACTATCAGATTGTAGCTGCAAATGCCTGTAAAAGAAGACTATAGTATCAGCTTTTGTAGCTGTATGATTTTGTGTATGTGTTTTATGCAGATCTTCTCACTGCATTCATTAGGTTTAGATAACTGTGCCAAACTGATACCACCTAGTTCTTAAACGTTGTGTGACCATACAACACATCAACGCTCTGAAATATATTTATCAATGGTCTGGATGAGGGCGTCGAGTGCACTTCAGTCAGTTCACAGACAATGCTAAGTTAGTGATGATCTGCTGGAGGGTAGGAAGGCTCTGCAGAGGGATCTGGACAGACTGGTTTGAGTGGAATTAAGACCAAGACCAGTAGAATTAAGTTCAACACGGCCAAGTGCCAGGTCCTGCCCTTGTGTCTCAGTAATCCTATGCAAAGCTAAAGGTTTGGGGATGAGTGGCTGAAATCTGCCCAGTCGAAAAGGTGGTGGTCAACAGCAGCTGAATATGAGCCAGCAGTGTGTCCAGAAGGCTGATAGCATCCTGGCTTGTATCAGAAATAGTGTGGCCATCAGGACTAGGGCAGTGTTTGTCCCTCTGTACTTGGCACTGCTGAGGCACCTCAAATCCTGGTGTTAGTTTTGGGCCTCTCACTACAAGAAGTTCATTGAGGTACTGTAGCAAGTCCAGAGAAAGGCAATGGAGCTGGTGAAGGGCTTGGAGCACAAGTCATAAGAAGAACAGCTGAGACTATCAGAAATAGTGTGGCCATCAGGACTAGGGCAGTGTTTGTCCCTCTGTACTTGGCACTGCTGAGGCACCTCAAATCCTGGTGTTAGTTTTGGGCCTCTCACTACAAGAAGTTCATTGAGGTACTGTAGCAAGTCCAGAGAAAGGCAATGGAGCTGGTGAAGGGCTTGGAGCACAAGTCATAAGAAGAACAGCTGAGACAGCTGGAGGTGTTTAGCCTGGAGAAGAGGAGGGGATGACCTTGAAATAGTGTGGCCATCAGGACTAGGGCAGTGTTTGTCCCTCTGTACTTGGCACTGCTGAGGCACCTCAAATCCTGGTGTTAGTTTTGGGCCTCTCACTACAAGAAGTTCATTGAGGTACTGTAGCAAGTCCAGAGAAAGGCAATGGAGCTGGTGAAGGGCTTGGAGCACAAGTCATAAGAAGAACAGCTGAGACAGCTGGAGGTGTTTAGCCTGGAGAAGAGGAGGCTCAGGGATGACCTTATCGGTCTCTACAACTACCTAAAAGGAGTTTGTAGCATGGTGAGGATCAGCCTCTTCTCCCAAGTAACAAAGGATCTGACAAGGGAAAATAGCCTCAAATTGTGCTAAGGGAAGTTTAGATTGGATATCGGGAAAAATTTCTTCACCAAAAAGGTTGCAAAACATTCAACCAGACTCTCCAGAGAGTGATGGAATCACTGTCCCTGGAGGTCTTTAAAGGACATGTAGATGTGGCACATTGGACAGTTTAGTGCTACACTTCAAACATGGGTTAAAGATTCAACACTATGAATCGTAATAGTCTTTTCCAGTGTGAATGATTCTGTGATGCTGTGATTTTGTTTTGTAGATCTGCTGACCAAGAAGAGTCTTCTGTTCTTCCCCTTCTTGATGCAGGATTTGATAGAGTATGTACAAATTGCCTATGAAATACAGAAACCATATAGTAATTTCATAAATTGCAGATACTTCCAGTTCCTCAAATTGAAAACTATACATCCTCTTCTGTCAAAAGTGTATTGATAAGAAACTCGAGTCTGTTGATTTGAAATTCTTTTATTTTCAATAGTGTATTCCTGTAGCATATGAAATAAGAGACTCTGTGATCCAGCTAATCCTTTCAGAATAAGCAAGAGTACTGAGATTACCTTCTTGTGGTCTGACTGGGTGGTGTATGGGTTTTGTTTGTGACTGCATTGAAAAACAGTGATGGGAGACTTGGATTCTGCCCCTCTACTCTGCTCTTGTGAGACTCCACCTGGAGTACTGCACACAGTCCTGATGTCTCAACATAAGAAGGACATGGAACTGTTGGAGCAAGTCCAGAGGAGGCCACAGAGCTGATCAGAGACTGGAGCACCTTCTCTATGAAGGCAGGCTGAGAGAGTTGAGGCTGTTCAGCCTGGAGAAGAGAAGGTTGTATGGAAACCTCATAGGACCTTCCAGGATCTGAAGGGGGTCCAGGGAAGCTGGTGAGGGACTCTGTTAGGAACTGCAGTGATAGGACAAGGAGTCATGAGGATAAATTGAAAGATGGGAAATTTAGGTTAGATACTAGGAAGAAGTTTTTTCCTGTGAGGGTGGTGAGACACTGGCCCAGCTTGCCCAGGGAGGCTGTGGCTGCCCCAGTCCTGACAGTGTTCAAAGCCAGGTTGGCTAAAGCCTTGAGCAACCTGCTCTGGTGGGAGGTGTCCCTACCCTGGGTAGGGTGGCTTGGGACTAAGGTGGTCTTCAGAGTTCATTCCAATCTCTTAACATCTGATGATTCTGTGATAACTCTTCATACTCTTTCTCAAAACACCTTTGTAGGAGAGGGCAGAAGGGCAGGAGTTCTCAGCTCTGAAAATCTAGGTCGCTTACCCTCTTTCAGTCTTTGTGTAAGTGGCTTTGAATGGATATTAATTACAGTTATATTACTGTAAAATTAATCAGCAGTATTATTCAAGTTGTAGCCATTTGAAAGGAAGGTTATGTACTTATGAGACAGGAGCACATTGGTGGATGCTGTAGTTGGAAACCATTAACTATATATATTGTCCTAAATATACATACAGTTAGGTAATTAACTGTAGTAAGGAAAATCAGGGAATGAATGTACTTAATACAACCAGAATCTCATGCTCCTATGCTGATACTGAGTCCAGTACCTGAGCTAACTCATATTTAGTTCAAGTTTGTTTATGTAGCAGACCATGCACCAGAATTACCATTTGCAGATCATCACCAAAAAAAGGAGGAGCCAGATCTTGCCTCCCCTGCGAGGGTACTGGGGGGATAAATGCTTTGAAGGCCAAACATTTCTAAAGCTCTGAAAACTGGAAAAGTTGAGGCTAAAGAAAGTTCAGCCCAAGGCTTTCCTAGGATATTTTTTTTTCTCTCTTTCTCTCTCTCAAAATAGGCTTTAATATTTTTTAAAGAAAACTTTTTTCTTCGCAAGTCTAGTGTTCCATTTAAAAATGATGCAGGGCAATGTGTTTTGTTAGGTAGGTCATAACTGTAGATGTGCTACTGAGTAAGACACTTTGGAGCTCTGAGACACATCTCACTGTCTGCCTAGGAAGCTAAAATCTTTTTGCAGCTGACAGCTGCTCTAACCATTCCCTCCTGCATGTCCCAAACTTATGAGAGAGCTTGCATAATAAAATAATTCCCTATTGGAATTATTTTCAAGACTTTGAAACACCTCTGATGTCAAAGATTCCATTTTTGGAGTGTGGTGGAGGTAGGAATTATTTCTGCTTGGATGGGGATCAGTAGGGACTAAATCCAGTAACACACAACCCCCCTGAAAACAAAGATTTTACCATACCCTTCAAATAGAGAGATGGGATTTACAGGGAATCTTTTCCTCAGCAGCAAAAAAAGAAAAAAAAAGAAATTTGTTTTGGTAAAATCATATGTGTTTAGATTGTAAGTTTTTCTTTATGCTGACTTATTATTTCTTCCTCCTTCTCAGAAAAAAAGCCTATTTTGTTACATCTTCTGATTTTCCCCTTACATCATTAGCAGCTTTCTTGTTTGTGTATTAATGTTGTTGTCAATCCAGTACATTAATTATGCTGATCTTTTTTTCCTCTCAGCCTCATAAATCTCATAGTGATGGCCTACTTATGATAGACTAATTTAAATAAGTTATTTGGCTTCCTGGCTGATTTTTAGCTATGATTTAAATCAGCAAACAGAGCTTAGTGTTTGCAGTTATTCAATTGCAATTTTACCTTGTATTTTGTACTTCTTTTCCTGAACAAATGTTGATTCTCATTGACCAGGTACTATTAAAACTTTCTGTACTGGAATAAAATAAGTCTCTAGTATTAAACTTAATAGTTACTGCTAAGCAAGAGGAGGGATGAATTCCTGCTCGCTGATGACTCCTGTGGCTGATGTCAAGTTCTGTGTGGAACAACAGTGGAATCCAATTATAGTGAAGTAACAAATAATTTAAGAGTATATATTAGTTGAATCAAAATGTAGTGTATGAATATTAAATGTTAGAACCAAAAAGCGTTGTTGTCTACCTACTAATGTTTGAGAGTTGATAGATCTTCTTAGAGGATGCAGAGATTAGAAAAAAGGAAATGTTTCCTGCAATTTTCAGGTCCCAATTGATTTCTCAGCTTTGAGTCAGCCAAAGGAGGAATGGCATCAACACTGTAAACTCAAGTGAAGTGATTCTGTGCATCTGCAAAAGACTACACAACAGTTAAGAGCAGATTTAGCATTCAACAAGCTGCAGTTCTTGGTTCTTAGCGAGAGATTTGTGCCAAGATTTCTGTCAGTAAACAGCAGTGGTTAAATTTTGTCAGTGAACTGCACTGCTTTAAAATTCAGTCTATAAAGAGCTTTAGTATGTTCTAGTAAGTCTAGTTTATAAAGTAGGTTGATGTAATTGTTAGGTTTTATACTTTGTTCTTATATGATTTTAAATTTAGCATGAACATATTTGAATATTTAAAAGAGCATCCTAAAACTGAAAATCTGAGTCTACAGTGCTGTGGGAGAGAAGTTCGCAGGCAGTTTGTTAGGAAAAAACATAACTATTTGCTTCTGCCAAGTTGATATTGTGCCTTTTGTTTTCCCATGCATTCTCTTACTGTGTGAGATACATACAGAAATATTTTAAGGTCTTGACATTAAGGAGTGAAATGGGCCCATGCCAACAGTTATTTTTGATTTTTCTCTAATTTTTTTGCTGTCAACTTGGAATTAAGGAGATAATTTCCATACAGGAGAGAAGCATAGATTGATTAAAAGTTATTCCTTGTTCCTTGGAGACTTCTGTGCTACCTCTTGATTCTGCATGCAGCTGTGCTGGGAGAGCTAGTGGTAACACACCGTGTCAGCTACAGTCAGTGCATGTGCTTGACCACTAAACTTCAACCCAAGTCAGAGAATCTGCTTCTCTTGTAGCAACGTGGTCAAGCACTGGAAGAGGTTGCCCAGGGAGGTGATGGGGTCACCAAACCTGAAAGTGTTTAAGAGGCATCTGGATATGACACTGGAGGATATGGTTGAGGGTTTAGAGGTTACAGCAGTGACAGCTTAATGGTTGGACTCGATGATCGTAGAGGTCTCCTCCAACCCTGATGATGCTATGATTCTAACAAAAAATTCCTGA